TTATTACTAAACGCGCGTTGATTTCCGGTTTTGTTTTTGAGCTGGGGAAGTACGGTACTCCGTGCGTCCTATTACAACCGGTATTTGGGGCATTGAACTACGCTGGCCATGGCAATTTAATTTAGCTCTTTTTGAAAATTGAGGCGTATTTCATGAGGATATTTGTGCGCGTGGGTGAGCGGAAGCCCTAAATAAGCAAGGGAAGAAAGGATGGTTCTCGTTCAGTTAGACATGCCGCTACTGGGCTGCAAAAATGCAGAGGAGTTCTTTGTTGCCACGATCGTCCGCATTTTTATAGTCCAGATATGACCTGCTTAGTTCATTTAATAATTTTAATTGTTTTTAGATTGGATTTCCCCTTTACAGAAGGGGTGAAATTCAGGGGTTTTTTTGTTTTAGTGATTCCACGCTGTCACATTCACATTTTCCCAAAAGTAAAAGCAAAGATACAGATTTTTCCCACAATCAAGGCCTTTTACTGTAAATATAAATGTTTCGACTGATTTATAAAAATGTCAAAGAAACACTTCCTGGCTAAGAATAATTTCTAGAGCCGAAACTACTGGATTGTTGGCAAGGAAAAACAGTATTGCCACATTAACAAATGTATGGTGACAACACTTTTCTGGACCACTTTCCAATTAATCAGATGCACTAATCAGTTTCAGTACTAGATATATCATGTACACACATGGTAGGAAGAGGCATTAAAGAAAAAGTGGAGAACCAACAGCAACAATTACATTAAGTAACACTGAAAGCCCTTAAAATATGGCTCTTTCAAGAGGTCCTAGGGTAGAGTGATTTCATCTGTTACTGATATTGGGATTTTATTTTTGTTCTTACTGTTTCCTGATATAGTAAGAAATATTTGTATTACTTTCTTCTACTTATTACATTGTTTTAATATGCTGTACGTTACATTACAGTATTGTGTCTGCTTGCTTTTTGTTTAAATAATTCACATGGCATTTGTTAGTGAGCTGACCAATGCTAGTTTTTGTGCCATCATTAACTCTTTGTGAATGGTTGTATATTTTCTGAGCTTGGATTTGAGTTGGGGATAAGGCATGTTGTTACATATAATTGATCCTGGTGACACTGTTATCTGTACACCTTTCAACTTTGGAAGAATTGCTGGCTTAATTTTAGGAGAAAATTTGATTTTTTTCCCAATAGAAAATCAAGTATGTTTGTGCATAAAATTACTGTAGTCAGATTAGAAATGATGCTTACACAGATATTACATTTTAAGTAATTGCACTGCAAGTGTTTGCATGTCCTTAGTTATATAAGCCAGTACAATCATAATAGTTGCAAGTGTTCCTTACTATAAGATAAGCACATTCCATGCTGTTTGGCAGATAATAACCACAATTTGAGTTTTAAAATGCACTGTGGACTTTTTTCCCTACTGAATATTATGCAACCTACATGTTCTCTACCTAGATATGCATTCTATAAATTTGCTTAATTAACATATAGACTAATAGAGAAATAGACTAATCTATTTCTAAATATCCTCCTACTTTCTATTTAGAGATAAGTAGGGGGCTTAATATGCTGGTCAGCATTTCCTCTTTCAGGCTGTCACAAGCTTTCTCTCTGACTAGTAGAACCTTATGTCTTCTGTCACTTAGTCTCCACTGGAGACCTTTTGTGAAGGGTAGAAGAAGAGGTTCTGCAATACCTTTTTCTCTTCAGGTATTTGGTAAGTCTTCTCCACTTGAGATGTCAGACTCTTTTTGAACCAACAATCCTTTAGCATTGTAATGCAGACCAGTCTGTTTAAGGATCACCCCCAGTAACAAATCTTAAACAGTCCATGATGTCTAGATCCATTTTGTGTTGCCAATTATCACATAGCCTTCCACTACTAGAAGTCCTCCTACCCACCATATTTTTTTGTTTTTTAAGTCTCATCATTTTTGTCAGCTCAGCAGCCCTTTTCCTATGGGAAAAATCTTCCTTTGGGAAACTAAATGATCTCTTCTGCTTTCAGGTCCTACTTACTAACTGCAAAAGAAAAGAGTGTCTGCTTGTGTGCTTGCATAGATACATGAGACTCAAGAAACACATGCTTCACAGATGCAATTTTACAAAGTATAGTGCTTGAAAAAATTGCAATAAAATGTACTTTTAAGAACATGATAACATCAGTAATACTTCATACTAAATATTAAATATGTGACAATTTGTTCTCTCTTAGAACCATTATGAATGTCAGTTTAGGTAGTACCTATGTCCTCAGCATTTAAAATACATTTATAGTCTTTAGAGTGTTGTATTAGTGAGCTCCTGGTGACAAGCCATAAGAACTGATACTCTAAATGTTTTAATTGGCTGGTTTTTATATTTTGGAAATACATTTTAGATAAATTACAAATTCAGTCTTAGTAAAAATTTGAATCTGTAATACACTTTGTATTATTTAGTAATTTTAAAAAAATCTGATTCTGGCTAAAGATTTTGGCAGTTTTGACAAGATTTATTTTGGCTGGATTCACACATAAGCTATAATGTAGTTAAACAAACCTTGTCTTGGTGTGTATGCAAAACAGGTATCTGTGTTGTAAAAGCCACTATATTTTGTATAACAGCTAAACAGAAATGTGCCACCTTTCATGTTGAATTGGTTAACAGATTTTGCAGGTGGCCTCACACATCATTGTAAGTCAGTACCTACTTCTTATTTCTCTCTCTCCAAGAGTTCTCTCTATTCAAGTAAGAATACAGTACTGGCTATGTGTGCTGAAGTTATACTCCAGACATAAAATTCCCAGAAGGCAGAAAGTAATTATATTCTGTATATATGATCTTAAAATGGCAGAAGCTATAGTTGGTGCAGCTGGCTGTATTTGATTTGTTGCAGTGCTTTAGGAGTTAACTAGCATTTGCAACTCCATGAACATTAATTTAAACAAAACCATTCTTCATTCCAGTACTCTAGATTTCTAAAAAATATACTTTTGGCCACTCCATCTGAACTAATCTTATCTTGTTATCCATATTGTTGATAATTTAACCAGAATAGGCATATATTTTATACATTATCTCTGCCCATCCTATTTGCTCAGTGCCTGACTATTTCTTAGTTTTCTCTGGAACTTTTTCCTCTCATTTTGTTTCAGTGTTCAACCATCTGCTTGCTCATCTCATCTCAAGTGCAAATTTAGGAACTCAAGTATCTTCCCCCAGGAATGTTCTTGGGCATGGGCATGAGCTCTATTCTTTCCACCGCTCAGAATAGGCACCCCTAGAACACGATCTAAAGCTACCAGGCAAACAGGAGAAAAAGATGGATTAATTTGATGGCCTGCTCCAGGGTAACTCAAGAGTTTAAAATTGTCTTTCCTATGCTGGCGTAGACACGCAGTAGCTATTTCAGCATACAAGGAGCTCTTCCAATGGCGATCATCCTCTCCAACCACAAAAAGGAAATGGCCTTCTGCCTTTTCTATGGGGATACGGCACTGTGAATTGGCTGGATCCCTTGGGTCATCCAAAGCTTCGTAAATATCAAATACTCCATTGTCCGAAATCTTGATCCTGCTCATATTAAAGCAAAGCCCAGGCAGGGTCAGTTTTCCATAATGAAGGGCGCTGGCGGTGATGGAGCTGCAGCCAGAAATGCAGACCGCAGCCACCACTTCTGGAAGGAAGGTCATCATTGACAAAGCCAGTTCTCCTCCTTTCCCAGTTCCAATAACACCAATTCCTGGCTTTTTAACCTTCATGAATGAAACAGCATGAGTGCAATTATTGAACAGAATTAAAAAGAACACAATTGATTTATTATCTATTTTTAAAAACGTATTTATTATATGAATTATTTATTCATAAGTGTCATGGAGCATCTCAGGTTAGATTTGTTAAAAATACTGAGTATTTTTAAAGATACTTCAATGAGGAAAATCTTAGTATGTTTACAGAAAGATTATATAATGTATCTCCTTTTCAAAATAAAGATATAATTATTATCTGCTCCCTCAGAAGGAGCTTTTCCACTTTGTACCACATACTGCTTTGAGAATGGTATAGAGAGATCCCTATATATTAAATTATTTTTAAGGCTAACCTAGACAAATTCTCTCCAAAATATTCTGAATGAAAAATGTATGAGCAATGTGTTGGGGGATGGGATAGGGGAGAAAAACCCTACTTTGTTCAGAAAATTGATATCTTTGTGTATGTGATTAAATCTTTGGTATTTGCTGTGATTATTAGGTATGCTTTCCATAGTTTTCTTGGAAACAGTCCAGTTTTTGACAAAGACTCTATAAAGAAAACTATTTAAAATCTTCTAAATTAATTATGTCCTTTGTCATGGAAAGCACTATCACTGATAACCAAATCAATACATGAAATCCTAATCTGAACTGACATATTAACATCTGTTTGTTTAATGTCAGTATTATGCATAAGTTTATCCACAAAAGATTAATACAGTAGGTGTTAGAAACCACATTTCTTATAAACCTAAATAAATTTACATCCAATTGCCCTGTTCATCCATCCTCTCATCCAATTTTTCATATTTGATTACTACATGTTAGGTTGCAGCATTCTAAATTAGAGGGAAGTGGAGCAGAAAATAATAGTTTGTGCATGAGCTATCCCCCAATTTGCAGATGTAGTCTTCTTATGCCTTCTGTGTAGAGAAGGGACTTTTTGGCTTGTTATTTTCTAGAATCTTCCAGATTTTTTCAGAAAGAATAGCTCTTTGTAGTCATCCAAGGATCAGTTTTGGATAGGTTCTGCTCGTTATTCATGACTGGAAATAAACACATGTCCAGGAATCCAGGTTTGTTTCAATAGCTCTTGCACAGCATCTCTGCTGATTTACACCTTGAACTTTCAGTGTTTTCTTGTTATCTCTTTCTGGCAGTACGGAACTTTCGCATTATGGTTTCCAGATAGTCTCCTTTCTATAGTTCTCTCTCTGTAGTTTTATGGCCTCTGACTTTTTCCACCTCCTGTCAAGTTTTCTCACTCATTCTCTTTTTGCACAGTAAAAATACCTGGCTATACAAGCACTAATCATTTTGTTGTTTGTGTCATTGTGTGGGAGCTTCATCACAACAGCTATCAGTAATGTATATTTCCTGGCAAAACAGCAGAGTGATATGGGTAGACGTTTTTCTTTTGGTTTCCTCATAATTTTTTCATTCAGAATCAATTGGAAAAAGAATATTTTTTCAATAATGTTCAATTCATTGTGCATTAGTACACAAACTATATTATAGATAGAAATGTTTTCTTCACAACACTCACCTTTGGATGGCGCAGCAAAAATCTGGCTGCCTCTTCAAAATATTCAAGGTGGAAATCATCCATGACTTTTGGGAGATCCTCAAAATTAAAATATGGCAAGGAAAGAGCAGCAAAGCCATGGGTTGCCAGAAGGCTGGATCGGAATTCGATTAACCCACCTTCATCACCAAACATGTCTATCACACCTGGAAATGGGCCATTTCCTAGTAAGAGTAGATATTGATCAATGTTGTTGGGGCTGGATATCACCAATGGGATTTTTTAAATTGAATTTTTTATATTAAACCCCTTTAAAATTGTATTTTCTTTTCCTACGAGCTCATTTTTAAAATATTTTTGGTAAGATTGCCACTGCTTAGATCCAAATACAAGCCAGTTTAGTGCATGCGCAATCCCTTGTGTTATATTACCTCTGCCTGAAGTTTGTCCAAGCTACCTGAGCTTTGCCCATCAACCCTATATTTTTGCATGCTACCACAAATGACTCACTGCTTATTCCGGTTTCATTGCCTTGACTGAGACTGCAATAGCACAGCAGTTGCCAAGACTGGAGGAAATGCCTAACTCTGGACAGAAAAAGCCTGAACCCTCACATGCACATCCTCCTCTACTCACCTGAGGGAAGGAACAAGCTGCCTCTTACCGCACCTTCCTTCAACCTAATCCTTCTCACGTCAGGAAGAGTGAACCACCTTTCCACGCTCGTTTGGGCAAGCACCTGTCCGGGGATAGCCCCGGGCTGGCTGTATTCCTGATGTACCGTAATCTCCACTTTCACGGGACGCTCCACGTGCCCGGGCTCCAGCCCTTGGTAAGGTTTCTCTATGGCAGCGGGGGAGAGGCTCCAAAATAGCCCCATGGGCTCAACCCCGACATAGTCTCCCCCCTTAGACACATCTTTGGACAGGTCTATTCCCCCCTGCCCGTCCGCTTGGTAATGTGCGCAGGAGTCAAAGAGGGTCAGGAAGAGTGAACCACCTTTCCACGCTCGTTTGGGCAAGCACCTGTCCGGGGATAGCCCCGGGCTGGCTGTATTCCTGATGTACCGTAATCGCCACTTTCACGGGACGCTCCACGTGCCCGGGCTCCAGCCCTTGGTAAGGTTTCTCTATGGCAGCGGGGGAGAGGCTCCAAAATAGCCCCATGGGCTCAACCCCGACATAGTCTCCCCCCTTAGACACATCTTTGGACAGGTCTATTCCCCCCTGCCCGTCCGCTTGGTAATGTGCGCAGGAGTCAAAGAGGGTGCCCTGCTCGTTCGCCACGAGCGCCCGGAGCGTCACCCCCTGCAAAGGCGCGAGTCCTTCAATCGTAATTTTCGCGGGCTGATCTGCCAAGCCTGCCGTGGGAGTGCCCGAGATCGTTACTACGCCTCTTCGGTCGTAGCTTTTCGGAAAGATCCTCCCCAAAGGGTGGCACGGTCCCCGCAAATACTCCAGGGGGAAGTCCCACGCTCTGTCTATAATTCTTCGCCACATGACGGACTCGCAGCTCAGCTGTCCGAACTCCTTGCGATTCCAGATGATTGGTGGATCTAAAGGGCGATCCCCTTTGCGTCAGTCCGACAATCCACGTGAAGACGCGAGAGGCTGTAGCAATCGATCTCAGAGACCACGCTTCCAAAACTGGGCGTTCGAGGTCGGTTTTGGACGCCTCAGACTAGTGATAAATTTATTTGGATCTGCAAATATTGACTTAGAATTTCTTGAACTTCTAAAGTCATTTTTAACTTAGCAGTAACATGTATGTTATCTTATTAATTTTAACAAGAAATGCAATGAAACGTGATAAGAATAAAAAATAAGAACAGTTCAAAAGCAGAGTAAGATAGAACAAAGCTGATAAAACAGGGAAGTTTATAAATTGGACCGCACTCAGGACTTAACAGATTGCTCCAGCCTTATAACACACTGTTAGTAGTAGGCAGTTTAATTTTTCTGCATAATAGAATTGTATTATTTTGTATGCATCCAGACAATATGATGCAGTTAATTTATATTATAACGTAAGAGATTTATCTGCATTATCTGGAAGATGATGAAACGATTGGTCCTTTTCTCCAGTTGGCACTGTCAGAAGCAGCAGATATTTTTAGAACATTATCTCCTGGCTGAAGTGCTTATTTGAGTAATTATTTTTGTAAATGAATACTACACAGCACACTCTTCAGTCATAGGAAGTTACCCTTTCTTCTGCTGAAAACAACTTGGAGAAGAGATGACACATTCCTATTCACTTGATTTTTTAAATCTAATTCTCTCTGCCAGTAATATGCTAGTCTGTTTTCACATACATTCAAGGTCACTATATAAGATTATTAAAATCAGATATGCTATGAGATGTTAAATTGCACCCATTACAAGTTAAAGACAAAATTGCAAAATTAACCTACAAATCCATTTTTCTTTTTAATTTGGAAGGATACAATCAGGGGCTGTCAAAAAAAAAAAAAGTCAGGGTGAAGGCCACATCCATGTGATTGTGATAGACACATGGGCAGACAGCCCATTTTAACCCATGTTTTATCCTTTGTATTTATGTATATTGATAAATCATTTTAATCCATGCATTGCTTATTATTTAGCAGAGTTATAATTATGATGCTTTGCACCCATTGGTAGTGCCTTGAACACTGGGTGACCTGCTTATTGGGTAGACATGATAGCAATAGATGAAACCCAGACCATCTGCCTGTCTAGGAATGCCAGTTTGTTAAGATGGTGGATGGGATCCTGGTACCAAGTTACTCAGGAATGTTTGATAAAATAAAACTTCAATATATCTCTTAACCCTCAGATGAACCATCTTACTTCTTCCTGATTAATCCTCAGTTGAATTAAACGTATGGTTTTTGATCGGTTTATAGTTATGTACACTGTTTACAACTGTATAAAAAAAGGTTCACTCCAAGCAGAGCTGTGCCCATTTGGAACTTACTACTGGGCATCCTTTTATTTACAAATAAAAGCTTTATTTCTTTCCACCTCTTTGGTGTGATTTATTGGGTTTGCAGGCCAGGAAAGGACCCGAGCTTTCTGGGACACCAACTGAAGCTTGCAATGTATGTAAAAAGTAGGTGACTGACAAGATGAGGAGGGGACCCTCAGCGTGGTGGGGAGGTTTGCATGTTGTTGGGTAGAGGGAGATATGGCAGGAGCCTGGGGACAGGTCACCCTCCAGGAATGCGGCCTTAGCGTTTGGTACCAGTTCCTCATTCCAGCCCAGATGGGTTCAGAGGGAGCTTGTGGTTATTCCTGAAAGTCTGGTGCACAGTCTGGCTGAAGACTTAACTGCCACTTGGAATGAGAAGGCAGCTGGGGCTTTGGACCAGATTGTATGCATACAACCTCTGTGGATCCCAGGGCTTCCCTGTGGTGTTTGTTTTGAATTATATCTTTAGCATGGTACATCTTAAGGATTTCTATTATGGTTTCTGTGTAACCTTTGTTCACAACCCAGAGTTACTGTGGTAAGAGGGATGGCCATATAAATTGAAATTAATCAATAAATCAAAATCACACTGTCACCATCTTATGCTATCAACTGCATGCAGATCCCAGCCTTGAGGACTTTAATACAGAATAGAGAACGCAGGTACAATATTTGAAGATTAGAAAAAGAAAGTTCAAACGGGCTTCATTGCCTGACAGTCTGCTTGTTCTTGCCCCCAGTTCATATCAGTTCCCAGCTTTATCTCCCATCCCCAGCGTTTTGCTTAGTAAACATACATGCATCCACCTGAAACACAGCTCATAACCATCAGATTCAGAGTTTGTTCTTGCTATCATTGAGGGTTTTGTGAAAGAAGATTTGAATCTGCTTCCAAGCATCGACTTGCGCTGCTGCGTGAGCTCTGGGTTCCCCCCCCCAGACCACTGGTCTGCCCACCAAAAAGTGGAATGAAGCAGGGCACAATGGCGTATAAGGAGGTTCAATGTAATGACCTGTTCCAGGATAGCAAATGATTCCAGGCTTCTCTTTTCCATGAGCTTGTAAACGATTGGCAGCTTCACTGGCAAAGAATTCACTCTTCCAGTTATGATCATCCATGCCCACAATAAAAAGAAAACGTCCCTCAGCCTTCTCTAATGGAATTAAGCTTTGGCGGTCAGGACCCTCAAGTGGGTTGTTCAGGATATCAATAATGTCAACTATCCCATTCTGATCAATTTTGGCCCGATTTGGATCAAAGCCAAGAGGTGGAATGGTGATATCCTTGTAGCGTAGTGTTGCAGCCACGTTGGCTATAGAACCATTCACTGTGACTGTGGCCGTGATGCCCTTTAAAAAAGAGGCCATGGAAATACAGAGGTCAGCCCCTTTGGAGTGTCCCAACAGCCCAATTCCTGGACCTTTAACCTAAAAAGGAAAGAAAAGGAAAATCAGATTCACACGGAAACAGGTGTGTAAGACTGCTAACTATGTTCCTATCACATGCTTCATTCATTCATTCATTCATTCATTCATTCATTCATTCATTCATTCATTCATTCATTCATATATCAAATTTGTCACCGCCCATCTTGTTGAAAAGCGACTCTGGGTGGTTTACAGAGGCGATAAAATCAATTAAAATACAATATAAAAACAATCTTAAAAATAATAAATTCCAAGAATGA